GCGATGCCAATCCATAACATACAGGCATACCTCAGAATGCGAGTTTAATCCGTTCCTGGAGACGCCTCGCCTTCCGAAAACTCGCATTCCGAAGTTAATTTCCCCATAAGAAATAAAGGGAAATGAATTAATCCGTTCCTGACTACCCCAAAACCCCATATCAAACTAAATTTTTATACCTAATTTACCTAATTCATCTAAATAAACCTACAAAACTATGTTCCAGTTATTACTTACCTTACTGTCAAGTGCTGTAGGCGTATGGAAGATGGTGAGGAGGGGGGAGGAGGAGAGGAGTTACTGTTTGGAAGGGGAGTCCCCTTCCATAATCACATCAGGCAGTGAGGACCTTTCTGGTGTGCTCTCCCTGGGACGTTTAACCTGAGTGCCACTAGGTCCTGGTTGAGGCTCACTGCTCGATTTCTTCAAATATTTGTCCATGGAAGCTTGCTTTTCCCTTCTTCGCAAGCTCTCTGTAGTAAGGCATCACATTGTCATTGAAAAGATTAAGACAACGGCCTACTACAGCTTTGTCTGGGTGAGTATGTTCAATAGTTGTTTGAATCTCTTCCCACATCTGACACACCTTCTTAATTACTGCAGAAGGGACATTCGCTGGTGCTGCTGCCACCACCACCTCCTCCACTGCAGAATCATTCGCTGCTGTGTTGGCTTGCTGTTCCTGTTGAAGGGCTAGGAGTTCTTCGGTGGTCAGTTCTTCGTTGTGTTCTTCCACCAACTCCTCCACATCATCACCATCCAATTCCAAGCCCATTTTCTGGCCTAGACTAACAATTTCCTCAACAATAGGCGCATCATTTATAGGCTCAAACCCCTCAAAGTCTAGTTCTCTCACACCTTCAGGCCACAATTTTCTCCAGCCAGAGATCAGGGTTCTTTGAGTCACTTCTTGCCAGGCTTTGTCAACGAGTTTTAAAGCACTAAAAATGTTAAAATGCTCTCTCCAGAACTCTTTGAGGGAGAGGTTTGTGGCTTCAGTCACTTCAAAACATTTCCGGAAAAGTGCCCTTTCATACAGTTTCTTAAAATTCGCTATGATTTTCTGGTCCATAGGCTGAATTAGAGGAGTGGTGTTAGGAGGAAGGAATTTAACTGTGAGGAATTTATTGTATTGAGGCATCAAATCATCTTCCAAGCCTGGAGGTTGAGCAGGAGCATTGTCAAGGAGAAGCACGGCTTTGAGTGGCAATTGTTTCTCCTGCAGATATTTTTCTATGGCAGGGCACAGCACTTCATTCACCCACTCCGAAAAAATAAGCCTAGTCACCCATGCTTTTTTATTAGACTTCCACATCACAGACAAACGGGTTTTCTGCACATTATACTGTTTGAAAACCCTTGGATTTTCAGAATGATACACTAGCAAGGGTTTAATTTTCAAATCGCCACTCGCATTTGAACACAGCACAAGCGTAAACCTATCTTTCATAGGCTTGTGTCCAGGCAAGGATTTTTCCTCCTTGGTAATGTATGTCCTCTTAGGCATTCTTTTCCAAAACAGTCCTGTTTCGTCACAATTAAACACTTGTTGCGGTAGGTATCCCTCAGCCTGTGCAAACTCTTTAAATTCGTCAATAAATCGTCCAGCAGCTGGTTTGTCTGAGCTGGCTGCCTCCCCATGCCTTGTAACACTATGGATACCACTTCTCTTTCTAAATTTTTCAAACCAGCCCCTGCTTGCCTTAAACTCTTTCTTATCTGCATCACTCGTTGCAGGGGTCTTCTTTAGAAGGTCTTCGTGCAACACCCTGGCTTTCTCACAAATGATGGCCTCCGAAACACTATCACCCCTCAACTCCTTGTCGTGTATCCAAATTAATAACAACTTTTCCACTTCAAGTATTTGTGGTCTTTGTGTCGTTAATGTTCTTACTCCTTTTGCCACATTAGCACTCATAATCTTATTTTTCTTAAGTATAGTGCATATTGTTGATGTCGCTTTGTTGTACTGCCTACAAAGATCAACAACACGTGTACCGTTCTCATGCTTTCGAATGATCTCTTGTTTCTCCTCTATTGTCATCCTCACTTGAGCTTTCTGGCCTTTATCCTTACCACTGGCTTTCTTGGGACTCATGGTGAGATATATAATAACATTGTATAGACAAATCACCAAAAATCCAACAAAACACTGAAAATCCACGACAAGAATTGATGTGGGGGTAGTCACTGAGCGCGAGACAATGGTGAACTGAGGGGCAGAGGGGCGACGATCGCCGAACGACCACGCGCTAGGTCGGCTGTACGCGTATCAACAAACTCGCGTTCAAACTCGCCTCCCGAAGTAACCATCGCCTTCCGAGACAAATTTTTGGAGTAAATACACCTCGCCTTCCGAAAATCTCGCATACAGGGACAATCGCATTCCGAGGTACTACTGTACTATAAACACGCTTTTCCAATTTTTTTAGCGATAAATCCTATCATTATAAAGCAGTCTCGAACGATCGTCGTGACCGGGAGCTCTCGTTGATCCCTGTATGGGAGGGTGCATGCCACGCCTAGATGTGTACACAAAAATATTCATAGAAAATCTATTAAAGTATTGGAGTGAATTTTTTCAAGACGATGCCAAATGGTGCAAGATTTATTGAATTTTTCAGAATTTTGATTTTTGACAAATACATTATTTTTCATCTTCTGCCCCTCAACAGTAGTAAAATGGAAACAGCGTGGTTGCTCAGATCAAGGTTATTCAACCAATATATAATTATTGCAGTCGGTACCATTTTCTTTGTGGCATGACAAATGTTGGTTATCCCTACACCATATGTCCAGTAGCAGACCCTCCACCCTTCCACACCTCTCGACTTGTTAGTCAGTGTGAAGGTTAATAATAAATTGAGTGGTTGCTAAATTCTGGAGTTAAAAATATCGAATTAACATTATTAAATCGACAAACAATGGAACCTCGACTTACGAATGCCCCTACTTGCGAATTTTTTGAGTTACGGCCCCCAATTTCGTCTGAAAATGCGACTACAGTACTTGAGACCTTTGCCTCGACTTGCAAATTTGTCGATAAACGTATGGGTCGACCGAGAGCGAGGCGTGCTTCAGTTTACCCCACTCTCTTGCCTAGTGACGATCGCGCTTGAATTCTTTGTAAAGAATTTATTTATTTTTTTTTGGTTTTTGAATATGAAAGTAATTATTATATATCACATCATGGGTACCAAGAAAGTCAGTGGTAAGGTTCAATCTAAGAAAATAGTTAAGTAGAGGCAATAGAGGATATCCCTTCCTCGTTAAGAAAATGTGTGAATTATGGGAAGAACTGCAAAAGTTTTGTTGAAAAACTCGCCCAGATAAAGCTGTAGCAGGCATTGACCTTTTGAATGACAATGAGTGTTAAAATGTAGGAAAAACAGTGTCTTTAGACAGATTCTTAGTAAGACAAGCAAGCAGTGAGCCATGGCCAGGTCCTAGTGGTATGCAGGAGAGAGTACCCCAAAGAAGTCATCACTCCTAATGTTATAATAGGACGTTATAAATACAGGATGCGGGACGTAATAATATACATACAGTATTGTAACGAGTACAAAAAGTGGTATTTGGTATAACATATATTTTTAAGTTAATATTTTGGGAGGGATGTGGAACGGATTAATTAAATTTACATTGTTTCTTATGGGAAAAATAGTTTCGAGTTACGAACTTTCGAGTTAAGGCCAGTCGCTGGGAAGAGATTGAATTAGTAAGTGGAGGTACCACTGTACAGTACTTATTAAACATTTATTTCAAAGACCACACCCCTATTTATTAAAGACAATAATAGAACTACTACAGCTCCTGTCTTGTCTCAGAATCAGGAAGGGTTGTCACTGATAAACAAATTATTGCATCAGTCACTTATTGGCTAATGTGAAATAATTGGTTTACCAAGACTTATTATAATTAAATTTGAGAACTAAGTAAAATTTAATTTTGTTTAATTAAGGTTTAACTAAATTCCCAATATGTTGCTTTTGTCAAACAATGGTATTTATTGCCCTATTTTACCAAACAATTTTTTTGCAGTGGGTTTTTTAATTTTAATAAATATTATGCTCTTATTTACAATCATTATAGCTCATAATGGTAAGTCGAGTCGAAACCAATTAAGTCGCCAGACATCTGCACCAACTAAATTTTATTCTGCCTGCGCTAGTTCATATGAAAAAAATGCAACGCTTGCTGGGCTGCCGCTCACCGCAAAGTAGGCAAATCGTTGCCCGTGAGCTCACCAACACACCCCCATGTTTATACTTAGCGCGCACACATCGGGATGTCACATGGGGCATGCAGAGAATGGGAAGATGTCGGTGTGCGTTTTAAAGTGTCCCATTTTATTTGGACAATAGAATTTTTACAAAGTTTGAAATGACTGTAATGACGCCATTTGTCATCACGTGCTCTGCGTGTTCTCTGCTGTTAGAATACATCTTGCTGCCTTAATTTGTCAGATTTGATGCTTGGTTCTTACGGAAGAAATTGAATAAACTCTTCTATTTCTGTATTTTCAGTTGTATGTACAGTAAGGTTAAATTGAATAAACATCTATAAAAGGGTTTTCGTTTATAAAGTGTGCCCGGAAACTTTTACTGAAATTGGCCCCATTTTCAGTCTGGATACTAAAAAGAATTTTTAAGAAAGAAAGAAAGAAAGAAAGAAAGTACAGTGTCTGCAGATCAATTATAATGCCACTGGCATGTCAAGCACACTATACTAGCTTTCAGTTTCATATCCATCCTGAACACTTTTATTAGTGACAAATTAGTGTATATAGCTGTTATGCATGAAATAAAATGCTCAGTTGTCTGGCGTTTCCAGATAGCAATTTATGGTTGATGTGTCTGGGTATTGCATGTATAGTTAAAGATAGTCACTTAATAGTTTCTTCTTTCAATGTCACCATTATTACCACAACCCACTGTTGTAAGTTTTGTTTGAGCTTTTGATAAAATATATCTTTAAATTATTCTCTACTTTTGTTATAGGTAAGCGTGGAAAGGGAATTCCCCGAGAGGAAACGACCCTGGCACGTGAGACTGCTGATAATTCAACTCCACCTCAGCAGCCACAGCTACCATCTCCTCCCCAAAGGGCAGCAACACCACCTCCACCTTCACCACCTGCTGCTCCACAGCCAGTCAATAAATTTCCAGTTCAGGTTCAAGCTGCTAAGGAGAAGAAGGAAAAGGAGAAAACTCCAGAACCAGTGCAGCCTCCTAAGCCTCAACTTCCTCCACAAAAATCTACTTCTTTTCCGCCATCAAAAGAGACAACTCCTCAGCCAGCACCCTCACCTACACCTTCGGAAGAGTCCAAAAGTGGACGTTCCTCAAAAGAGAGAGAGATTAACAATGTGGAGTGTGAGATAAATAATGTTCATGAAGATAAGGAGGAAGAGAAGAAAGATGATGGCCCACAACTTCAATACACATACAAGGAAGGTAAATACAGCAACCCCGCAAAAAATTTGTTCCATGTCTTTTTTTTCCCCTTTTTGGGGTGGGGGGTGGGGAGGGGTCAGGTTTGTTGGTTTCATGTAGATAATATTTAACACTAGCTTCCCAATTAGCACACAACCCAATGTTACTCATTCACCTACAGTGTTTATACTTAATAATAAGACATTGCAAAAAAGTTTGCTTGATGCCATTTGCGTCATCTCCCATCTCCGTATTTTCGTTTTATGATGGAATATGCTGCATTTGTCAGCGAAAGTGTCGAGTGCATTTGCTCCATTGAATGGTATAAGAAATGTAATAAATTTGTGATATCTCTACACAATTCTAGAACAAGCTGGTTGGAACATTGCGCCTTGGAATATGAAGCCTAATGTGTGGAATAAATGCAGGATAAATGTCCTTTAAGTTGGGATGTTCTTTTGTAAATTCAAATTGGTATGTCTTGGTTCTTTAGAGAGCTTTTTGTCGCATATCGTTTTTAAACATTGGCTCGTACATTGGTACCATGGTACACAGAGAAAAGTTCCCCAAAATTTCTTATTTTCTTATAATCCCTTCCCTGAACACACACAACAATAAAAACAGGCACTTTGGTTGCAATGAAGTAGAGATGTCCAATGCAGGAGACTTCCCTGAGGCAGTCGTGTAGGTGATTCAACTCTTGTGATATCTTTTATCCGTGTATGTAATTTACGCGGTTATAATTTTCCAAGGAAGTGTGGTGTCATCATTGTGTCCACTAAAAATGACACATTGTTACTCGTTCAGTATTCATTTTATAAATACTATTTACACTCGCACTTGGTTCTTCAATGAAGCCGTCCATATAACACCAGGCAACTCATCATTTAATGCACCAGGTGTACACACATTCACTTCCTATCTTTTCCTTCTGGGTTCTTGCAAACAATGCACTTGCATACACCTTTTGCAAGTTTTCCTGTTCTTGGTATGAAATCAATCCTGTGTAGTGCAAGAGCGTCTTTGCAAGCCAGTTTGTTAGGAGCTGCACGAGGCATGGTTGGTGCATAAACCTGCATCACATTACCTTCCTGACCAAACGTCATAAGTTTGGCCAGGAATGTATTTGTATGTACTGATCTGGAACCAGTCCTAATATTTTCAGTGTTTTCAATTTTGTATTACACCCACATGTGCTCTAGGAATACAGATTTATAATTTTTAAGTGATCCCAGTAACTTAATGTTCTAAGGTTTAACTTTAACTAAGTTAAGGTTTAACTTAAAATATGAGGTAACATTTCTTACATTAAGAACATATGTTTAACTAATAAAGCTTAACTAAGCTTTAATTAAGGTCTAACTTAAGGTTTCTAACAGCAAAGTATCTTTGCACGCTCTCCAGGTCAGCAATTTCTGTCTTTTATCTTTATTGTAGAACTTCCTATATCTCATGATATGATAGCCTACAGTGGTCAAGTGTCTTCAGTACAATATTTGAAAATCATTGCCCATGATTAGAAAGCCTCAGTGTTTTAAATAGTCTTGATTCTGTTTTTCAGATCAGTGGAGCCCCGTTAATCCAGAAGGAAAGCGACAGTATGATAGAAGATTTCTTTTGGAATTGCAGAATAATCCCTTGTCGCTCAAAAAGCCTGAATCGCTACCTAATTTGGAAGTCGTGCGAGATGGACCTGGACGGGTAAGTTCACCATAGGCCATATTGTGTCCGTGTTATTGCTAGAGTTCTCCTGTGTAAATGGAATGGAGTTCTGGACTGACTGTAGAGTTCCAGCGAGTCGTCAAAAGTTTTATGCCAACCAGCTATTTCCTGCTCTTTCAGTTGGTGCAATTCAAGGGGGTTCATTATTTGGCAAAAGCCTCGATCTACTACTACTGGTCATTTATATATTTGGGGTTAGTCTGGGACACGAGGACAACCTCCTGTTCTCTTCTCCATTCTTGTTGCAGATATTAAACCACATCTGCTAATGTTAAAAAGTCCTTGCCAGCAATAGTATGAGGTTGGTGGGTGATGCATCCTAGCTTCAACATCCTCTCTGCTGTGTGTGCTCTTCTGTGCCAGTGTTGTGTACTTTTGTCTTACTCTTTGGTGAGATATTACATGTACATTATTGTTGCCTCTTGTTTTTCAGCCATGGTGGAACCTAATTGAAGTTCAGATAAACATGGCCAGTAAACCTGCACAGCCAGTCCTGGAACTGGCTGTGGGAGAACTCTGCAAGTTGAATTTTAATAATGCATTAACTGGGAACTAATAAACCAAAACCTCACAAATAAGCTGGGAAGAACTGCTAGAAATTGCAAACCTATATCAGTGCCTTGAAAAAATAGTCTCAGTAGCACTAGACATATCCTGAAGCTACACATACCACTAGAACGAGAAGAAAGTCAAATTAGAACGAAAACGGTGTTCCCCCTCTAGGTGAAGAAAGCAAATCGCAGAACAACTTGAATGCCCTATCCTATCCCAAATAGGAAAAGGAAGGGTATGAAGAGAGAAAACCGGTTGAGTTAAAGTTGCAGAAGTCGTATAATATCCAGGAGAGGCAAAGATAGCAAAATGCTTTAGTGAATAACTACGCCTAGCCCCTGTATAAGGGAGATGGAAATTTCACAAGATGACAAATAAATGAGAAATACTAAGGGTAAAGTACGATTCTGTTTTCAGTGAACCCTTGTCAACACTTCAAAGTGTTTAAAAGAGTATTTGATAAATACCACAACTAAAGAGGGGCCTGACAGCTTGAGTGGTTCCAGGATTGATCCCCTATTGGAGGCGGAAACAAATGGGGAGTTTTTCACCCTGATGCCTCTGTTACCTAACAGTAAATAGGTACCTGGAAGTTACAGCTGCTTCAGGCTGCTTCCTGGGGGTGTATAACAAAAAGGAGCCCTGGTCAAGGACTGGGACACTAAGCCCTGAAATCATCTCGAGATAACCTAGATACCTGGACCAGAGGATACCTGAACAACCAGGCTGGTGGCAGTTATGCCTAACAGCCTGGTTAGATATCAGACCTTGAGGAGGATGATCCTTGGAAACAAGGCAAGGTAACTACAAGGTAAACCTGCAGTTGCCTGTATTGTTGTGCTAATGTGATGCATTCCTGATTGGATGTCAGAATGTCTTGGTCTTTCTGCCCGTGAAGGGGACAAGGTTCTTGCTCTGGTCCCTAGTAGGCCAAATGGGGTTCCCACAACATATGTGACCTAGTACCAAGGAGCTATCTCTGAAATAACTTGGGGAGCCTTCAGGGTTCTACTGGAAAGAGGCATTTCTTTTCATTCAATGCTGGTATATTTCGGGTGGTGCTCTTGTTGGCTCTGGCTCCTGATACCTGTGTTTGTGACTATCATGCTCTGTGCATGTAAAGTAGGGGGGGGGGGGTGTTGTCCATTTTCTGCTATGAATTGCTGTTTCTAACACTTAGTTTTAGCCATGGATAAGCTCTGTTTTTCATTGTGGTCCTCTAGTGGTGGATAATTGGTTTAACAGCTGTAGGGTTCATACCTTCTGCCCTGTTATCACTTTGTGGTAGCATTTGCATGCTACTCATGTTTCACGAGTTGTGGCTTTTGCCATTTATTTCCTTTTTTGCCTTGTTCTGAAGCCTGACATATTGGGTAATCTGTCGTGGGGATTCAGTTCAGTTGGAGTGATGTCTGCATTCACATGATATGCACAAGTGTTTAGCTTTTATGTTCACTGTTTTCAGGCCTAGGGTTTCTGGCAATCCTAGTCTGCATAATGTTCAACCAAACATCTGGTCTTACTAACGAAAGTTTAAATGCATTATGCACATCAGTATGTTGACAGAAGCAGCAAACATTAACCCGTGTGGTAGTGCTGAGACTTACCAAATTTCTTCCTCATAGCCATTTCTAAGCAAATTTTTACACATCATGTCATTAAGCATTATTGACTTGTTAAAATTAAACTTTAGTCTTTAAGGTTAATTTATGTTCTACATATAGTGTAGTGTTTAAGCTTAATTTATGTTCTAAATACAGTGTAAAAAAAAATTTGGCTAGACTTCCACTATTGGTTACTGTACTATATTGTAATATTTTAATAGTACCAGTTTGGACCATCAGTGTTATTCCAGTACAGAATACCCGCCCTTATCAAAGTGCATTCCTGCTCACGAGACCTATAGAATCTTAGTTTAGGGGGATGACTAAATTGTTAGTTGAGAAAATATGCTGTTACTAGAATCATCATTCAAATTAAATTTTTGAGTGTTATGCATGGATGCATGTGCATCCTCTATGTATCTGGTTTAAAGATTCAACTCTTTCCTTACAGCACAAACCCTTTGATACACGTGCCCCTGTTCCTCATGTTGGTGGTGGGCCAGACTTCACTCCTGATTATGTTAAATCTGCAATGGGAAACAAGGTAATATTTCACTTTTATTCTGAGTTAATTTATTGTTGCATGATTACTGCTACTGGTATATTATTTTAATTACTGTAATAATTTATTAGCTTTTGTTTTCATTATACCTGCAGCAACCAAGAACAGTTGGGCGCAACAGTCAGCAACGGCGTGAACCAGGTGGTGGGGGTCCAGTGAATAGAGATAGAGGGGGTGGCGGGGGCAGCGGAGGCAATGTCCGTGGTGGACAAGCAAAGATAATTATTATTCCTCACTCAACTGGGCGAGAACCAAAGCTTAAGACGACGGAAAATGCCTGGAAACCATCAGTCAAGGACAGCAAATCAGAAGATGCAAAATTGCAGACAGATGAAGTATGTGTTTTTTGTGTGTACATTTGTGTAATCAATATCTAGGAAACATACCATCTTTGAAGTAAATCATATATATCTGCATATATCTTGGTTAATGCATTCAGTATAGTCAAAATGTTAGTCATTATTGAGTTTTAGGCAACAAATTTAATTAAATTTGTGCTTCCAGTTAATATAAGACTATGCATGTGGATCATGTGAAGTTTAACCTTTTGAAATGTGCATAAAAATTAACATTGTATTGAGCATAGCCTGAGCATAGGAAAATATCCAAAATAGTCACTTGCAAATTAAATATGCACAGTGAATATTGTGACCTATGCACGAGGGATGAGTGTTCTAGCATAATGGGAAGGTGAAAAACGCTTGCATATTATTGGTGGCCAATATGAGAGGCAAAGTTTTATGGACAGAAATGGGCATATGGTTGTTTACTCCTATCATGTGATTTTTTCTTCTTTATTCTGAGCACCTCCATTCCTTTATTTTATGCTTTAAGTTGTGGAAGTCATATGCATTTTAAATATTGACTTGTGTGCCTGACCCAAACTTTTAGTATTTGTGTATATCAGTTTTAATATTGTAGTGATTAGTATTCATGATAACTAGTTTTATTTGTTCTAACAGGATATAGAATTTTTAACACTTTGGTGCACCCCGCTCGCCACCCCTCAACTGTGCGATATGGGACCCAGGGTGTCACGGGAGCGCGCGTAAATTCTGAAAAGTGTATACTCTCTTCAACTTTGTCATCTTAATTCTCGTCCTACGAGATTAAATTTGGTATCATTGTGTTCGCAATAGAATTAATTCTCTACAGCACTAAATGCATATAAACTCCAAAAGCCCGGCTAATTACCCGCAGCAAACAGAGAAAGTGCGAACGAGTTACCCAGGAGCGCACAAACGCGATAAAATGTTTTCACTATTTTCACTCTGGTCACCTCAATTTTCGTCCTAGGTCTTTCATTTTGGTCTCAATGGGTTCGCAATAGAATTCTCTAGAGGAACATTAGCATATAAAATAAAAAAACCTGGTCACGCTCCAACCGCCGACGAGTTTAAGACGGGCCACGCATTAGCTGCGAGTGAGCGCTCAGACGCCTTCCAGCTACACTCCCAATTCCCGCCTTTTTCAAGCCTTTCTTTCGCAATTTTCTTCCTGGAAGGGCCTTGTTCATGATCACTATCCATCGTGGAGTAAGCGTAGATAGTTTCTAAAGCCGCAGTAAGAAATATAGCCACGGAAAATAGCCGAAATGTTCACACGTTTGAGATGCGAGGGGAGGCGACATTGGTCACAACAGTGGAGCGAAAACAATGGGCCCACGGCATGTGCCAAGCCGCCTGAGGGCCACGAGGCTCAACAAAGAAAATGGGAAGACATCGTCGCGCATTTTAAAACCAGTCCCCAAAAAATTGGATAAAAACCTGATTTTTGGCGATTATTTAAAGTGGATGACGCAATGCTGCGTCATCCCCGGAATTACCGCCAGTAAACGGATGACGCAATGCTGCGTCATGCCCGGGCGAAAGTGTTAATCTACAATAATTCATGTTAGTTTTTTTTGTAATGACCATGTGTTGATACATTGTCATTGGATTTTCATTGTTGTTGTTGCTCTTTCCTTTACTTTACTTTTTATTGATTTCATTTAGGCATGGTAAATTGTTAGATGTGCTTAATTAATGCTCCTGACTATCTGGTCTGTTGTACAGAGCACCACTTGGTTTCCGAACCCCTTGGGGACGAGGCCCGTCGGTTAACATGTAGGTTCGTAAACGAGAAATAGACGGAAAAAATAAACTAGAAATGTATAAAGAAATTTTTCTGGAAAAAACTCTTGGGGGAGGGGGGGGGATCGACAGGTTCATAGCGTAAATGCGACCGTATTTTGTTTGTACTCACGGATAAGTGACGTCCTGATCCACTTTATAAAAGTCCTTAATTCTTCCTGGCTGATTATTAAGACTGGCAAAGTTTCCTGCCAGCCTGCAGGAAATTCCTGCCAGCCAGTCTTCAGGCACATCCTGCCAGCCTGCAGGCACATTCCTGCCTGCCTGCCAGCCTGCAGGCACATTCCTGCCTGCCTGCCAGCCTGCAGGCACATTCCTGCCTGCCTGCCAGCCTGCAGGCACATTCCTGCCAGCCTGCCAGCCTGCAGGCACATTCCTGCCAGCCTGCCAGCCTGCAGGCACATTCCTGCCAGCCTGCCAGCCTGCAGGCACATTCCTGCCTGCCTGCCAGCCTGCAGGCACATTCCTGCCTGCCTGCCAGCCTGCAGGCACATTCCTGCCTGCCTGCCAGCCTGCAGGCACATTCCTGCCTGCCTGCCAGCCTGCAGGCACATTCCTGCCTGCCTGCCAGCCTGCAGGCACATTCCTGCCTGCCTGCCAGCCTGCAGGCACATTCCTGCCTGCCTGCCAGCCTGCAGGCACATTCCTGCCTGCCTGCCAGCCTGCAGGCACATTCCTGCCAGCCTGCAGGCACATTCCTGCCAGCCTGCAGGCACATTCCTGCCAGCCTGCAGGCACATTCCTGCCTGCCTGCCTGCCTGCCAGCCTGCAGGCACATTCCTGCCTGCCTGCCTGCCTGCCAGCCTGCAGGCACATTCCTGCCTGCCTGCCAGCCTGCAGGCACATTCCTGCCTGCCTGCCAGCCTGCAGGCACATTCCTGCCTGCCTGCCTGCCAGCCTGCAGGCACATTCCTGCCTGCCTGCCTGCCAGCCTGCAGGCACATTCCTGCCTGCCTGCTTGCCAGCCTGCAGGCACATGCCTGCCTGCCAGCCTGCAGGCACATTCCTGCCTGCCAGCCTGCAGGCACATTCCTGCCTGCCAGCCTGCAGGCACATTCCTGCCTGCCAGCCTGCAGGCACATTCCTGCCTGCCAGCCTGCAGGCACATTCCTGCCTGCAGGCACATTCCTGCCTGCCAGCCTGCAGGCACATTCCTGCCTGCCAGCCTGCAGGCACATTCCTGCCTGCCTGCCTGCCAGCCTGCAGGCACATTCCTGCCTGCCTGCCTGCCAGCCTGCAGGCACATTCCTGCCTGCCTGCCTGCCTGCCTGCCAGCCTGCAGGCACATTCCTGCCTGCCTGCCTGCCAGCCTGCAGGCACATTCCTGCCTGCCTGCCTGCCTGCCTGCCAGCCTGCAGGCACATTCCTGCCTGCCTGCCTGCCTGCCTGCCTGCCAGCCTGCAGGCACATTCCTGCCTGCCTGCCAGCCTGCAGGCACATTCCTGCCTGCCTGCCAGCCTGCAGGCACATTCCTGCCTGCCTGCCAGCCTGCAGGCACATGCCTGCCTGCCTGCAGGCACATCCTGCCTGCCTGCAGGCACATCCTGCCTGCCTGCAGGCACATCCTGCCTGCCTGCAGGCACATCCTGCCTGCCTGCCTGCAGGCACATCCTGTCTGCCAGCCAGCCAAAAATATATGATGTACATTTGAGAAACAAATCTGGGTCACACGTCTGTCGAAGGTCACGTGGTTCACCTCAACACCCATTAAATATTTATCAACATCCAGTAAAATATTTGTAAAAAATTAAATTGTCATCCGAGCAATTTCTAGGTGGTTTCAAAATGAGCGCCTTTAGATTGCGCACAATTTGATACCAAAATGAAAGACGTAACATGAAAATTGATGTCAGAACACTGGAAAGATATAAATAATTTTGTGGCAATGAGCGTCAGTGTCCAAAAGTTAAAATATTTGTTAAATTTTCATTTATTACTCTATTATTATGGGACTAGTTTTAAAATACGCACCTTTAGATTGAGCACAATTTGATACCAAAATGTAGGGCGTAGCGTGAAAATTTGTTATCAGACTGAACGAGTACATACATTAGTCTGCAGGTGTGCCAATAGGTGCTTGTTCACGGGTAACTTGGCCGACTTGAGGCTTTGCTGTGGGGAGTCACTCCGGGCTTTTAGATCTTAGATGAGGGCACATAATTGAGGTCGCCCTCAATTTTGTATCAATGTGTTTGTAATAGAATGCTCTACAGAACTCAAAGCAAATAAACTCAAAAAGCCCGGCTTACCACCTGCAGCAAACAGAGAAAGAGAAAGTTACCAGGGAGCGCACTAGAGCGATAAAATGTTTCTCCTTTCACTTTGGTCACCTCAATTCTCGTCTTAGGTCTTTCATTTTTGTATCATTGTGTTAACAATAGAATTCCCTACAGGTGTATATGCAAATATAAAGTGCAAAAGCCCGACATACCACCCACAGCAAACAGAGAGTGACGGAGCGTTACCCCAGTGAGTGCTAATAAAGAGCAATAAAATGTGTTTACTCTTTTAAACTTTATTACCTCAATTCTCGTCCTAGGTCTTTCATTTTGGTATCAATGTGTTCGCAATGAAAATCCCTACAGGTGTATATGCTTATAATGTACAAAACCGTGGTTTTCACAAAACCAAATGTTTTTAGTTTTTGACGTCATCCTTGACGTCATCTATGGGTATTGAACTAGTAAACTTTTGACTCCATACTTCATCGGTGGGCGAAAGTGTTAAATGATCCAACATTATTTCAAAGATTCTGCCACCTGTGCAAAGCTTGACATCAACTGGGACCCTTCACAATTGGGACCCTTAGAGGGCATACGGGGTACAAGTTTCATGCAAATTGCCCGATAAAAACAAATTTTTGACCCCCTCCTTCCAAAAAAAATTAAATAAAGAAAAAAATTTATATATGATTAAACTAAGAATTTTAATCCTCTATTGTGATAGCCGAGTGTCTTGACATGATTTCAGTTGACACTTGTTTGTAGTTAATTTTTTTTTTTTTTTTTTTGACAAACCAGTAAATATATATTTTATCTATTTAGGCTACGATGCTGAAACTTGGACCCGTTGAAGCTCTTTCATTTACAATTTTGATTTTGATTGAACTTGTTAAGTTTTCATTTATTGGGTATTTGCAAAGTTATGGCCCTTTAATTGCATTGTAGGAATTAAGGTTGTGAACTTCTTGAAAGCCGAGTTTGATGGACTGCTGAAGGAGATAACGCAGTTAAGGGAATATGTTGTGTAAGAAAGGGCCAGGCAGCATTAAGAAATCTACTTCATATTATAAAGTATAAGGAAAACCATGAATAGGCTTATACCTCTTGTAAAACCTCCAATGCATTCTTTGGAGTGAAGAATGCAGTGTTATCTACTTTTAACTTTAATTGGTCCTCTTGTCACATGCTGCTGTGTCAGCACAATGCCAGGTCTGAGATTGACAGATCCGGCTGGGCGTGCCAACTTTCTTCAGAACCAGTAAATATGTCGATATGTTTCACCTTTTCCCTTACATTTTGCATCTAAATTAATCATTGTGTAAGGGAAAAAACTGTTAAATTTTTTTGTACATGCATGAATACCCATAGCTGCAATTAAGATTACTTTGTTTTTTTCCCCCAGGTGGTGAAAGTAATGCGAGGTATCCTCAACAAACTTACACCAGAAAAGTTTTCAAGGCTGGTCGACACAGTCAAGACATTACCAATCAACACCACGGAGAGACTCTCAAATGTTATTGACCTAATATTTGAAAAGGTATGATTTTTTTCGATCTGTAAGATCCTGTGTAATGAGTTTAATGTGATAGCTAGAGAGATTTTACAGGAAACAGATGGTTCGGTTGACTACATCTATCTGAACATAAAAAAGGCTTTTGACAGTGCCGCATAAGAGGTTGTTCTGGAAACTGGAACATACTGGGTAGTGACAGGGAGGCTTCTAACGGATGATTTTTTTAAAGTGCAATAATCAGAGGCAATGTATCAGACTGGAGAAATGTCACTCATGGCATCTTAAAAAAAAAAAAAAAATAGATCCATCCACATCAGAATAGAACAACCTACCATAAATACCCAAATCACGGAACTATTTACTCTACCCACCATGAGAGTAAGAACAAGACCAGAACATAACGATGCTAACACAGAAGACACTGCTCAATGTAAAAGGCTTATTACATTTGATTAATCTTTGTATGTGCTGTCCCCTATTGTTCCCTATTTATCCCCTTGCCTTTTCCTTTATTCTAATTATTTTCTCACCTGACCCCGTACTGGTATAAATCTAATGAGATCTGTAATTTCTTATCACTTGAGAATGAACCATGTAGGTTCGAAACGTTGTGCAGTTGTATAATAAGTGTAATAATACATTCTATAGTAATTCACTTTTTCTTCATCTTGAAAAACAAACATAACTTTTGGAGAACTCCTCTTTCAACTAAACCTTGAAGCAAGAATAATAGAGGGATAGAAGCCCTAAACCAGAAAATAGTAAATACAGAATATGCGGTCATATTCAATATGAGAGCCCAGCAATAGCACGGCAATGTCTGGGGTAGGAGACCCCAGACATGTCATCAGTACCTGATGTTATAATGGAAGGGAACCCCTTCCAAACACTAACCTTCCCCCCCCCCCCCCCCCACCCCCCACCCCTTCCTCACCATCTATCATACACCAAGTCCTCCTCATAAAGGTAAGGTATAGTAAAATTTGAGTAGTAATTATAAAGTGTATTTTTGGGTGCGGAATGGGTTAATTCAATTTACATTATTCCTCGTGAGGAAAATTCGTTTTGGTTTACGATTTTTTGGTGTCTGAATCTCTGGAACGGATTAAAATCATATAAGGAAGGTACCACTGTATTTGATTGGGCAACTGAAAATAACATGATTGATAAAGATTAAGCCACCCAAAAGGTGGCTCTCATGAATTGCCCAAAATTAATAAAAATGTTGATAAATTCCAGGTGCTGAGGTACCTGGAACGAACTTAACAAAACAAAGGGTACAGGACACAGACCTACTCATAGATGGAAAGCAAAATGTAAAAGATCTAGGAATTATGGTCTGACAACCTGACATTTAGTGAACATAACCAAGCAAATATAGCAGCGGCAAGGTAAATGATAGGATGGAGTATTAGAACCTTCAAATCCAGGGACCCCACAGATATCAAATAATATATTCATGGAAGATACTGGAGTGCCAGGTCCCAAATTTGCACAATAGAATAACTTACTGGTGCGAGAGATAAGAAAATGCAGAATAAAATATCCGAGTAGTAGAGGTTCTATAGGCGCAATCGGAGCACTGCCTTAACATCAGGGGTCCACGGCTGTTGAACACCCTCCCAAATTAGAAATATTGCTGAAACGAAGGTGGAGGCATTCAAGAGGCACTTGGACAGGTTCTTTAAAGAAGTGCCGGACCAACCAGGTTGTAGGTGATATATGGGCCTGCGGGCTGCTCCAAGCCACAGCCTGTTGAACAAAGTTATCACAAGAACAAATCCACAAGGGCCGTGGATTGATCCTTGATTGAACCTACGTCCAAGAGGATCCCAGACGCTGTGTTAATCGACTGAGCTACGACATAAGCAGCATCACAACTCTTATGTCGCAGACATAATCCACAAGGACAAAACACTGTCCTTGTGGATACTGTACCATAAGTACAGTATGTAAATACTGTACCATAAAAATCTTATCATAATTTTTAAATGTAAAGGGTTGTTAATGTAATGCAAACTTTTTAATAATTATTGTTGTATTTTCCAGGCTGTGGATGAACAGGGGTTTTCTTCCACTTACGCTCAGATGTGTCAGGTTCTCTCACTGATGTCTGTTCGCGGAAGTGGTAATGATACTGGAAACTCTGGCAAGTCGGAAGTCAAGTTCAGAAACTTGATCATTAATAAGTGCCAGAAGGAATTTGAAAAAGATAATACTGATGAGCTGAGAATCCAAAGATATAAAGAGATCGATGCCTGTAATGATGTAAGTTATAGTGCAGTATTTGGTCACAGATATTTTACTTAATTTACAGCATGTTGGTAGAGGAAAATATTGAGACTACAATAAGATCAAACTTCCATTCCTGGACTTAAGTATTACCAGGCCTCTTGTTTTCTTAATTCTTGATAAGTTTTGATAAGTTAGTGTACTGTATATATATTTCCTTTCCTGTTTACTCAATTTGAGATTGATTACCAACTGATTTTTGTTCTAAACTTTTTTCTTTTTTTTACAGAATGATAAGAAATTAGAGCTTATTGCCAAATACGAATATGATGAATCAAAGATGAGAAAACGATCGGTAGGAAACATAAGATTTATTGGAGAGTTGTACAAGTTGCGTATGTTGACTTCTCCAATTATGATGAGAATTATTGGAACACTTTTGGAAAAGGGGGATGAGGAGTCCTTAGAGTGCCTATGTAAATTACTTTCAACTATTGGCAAGCTCCTTGAAGCTCAGTGTGCCCAGCAACCAAAAGCTATGGTTAGTTACTGTTGTTTTTAAATAATTAAAATATTATAAATAAATAGCATGTAATATATATATATATATATTATACACATATAATACATAATACATACATAGTTACATAATTTGTTTCTTTTATAGTCTGAATTGGACAAACACTTCAAGCACATGGATAGGATTGTCCATGAACGTCAAACAAACAGCCGTGTGAGATTTCTCATGATGGATGTAATTGATCTGCGTCAAAAGAGTTGGGTTCCAAGACGAGAAGATAGTAAACCGAAGACAAAAGCTGAAGTCCAAGAAGTGAGTAGTTCACATAATGAATCTTGCTATATTTATGGAACAATGAGCTGCTTTTTGTATAATATTGGCGTTGAGAAAAATGGTGCTATTGTATGAAGCATAAATATATACAGTAGATATATATATATACGGGGGCTTGACAGCCGAGTGGACAGTGCTTGGGGGTTCGTAGTCTTAAGGGTCCGAGTTCAATCCCTGGCTGAGGCGGAAACAAATTGGCAGGGTTTTTCACCCTAATGCCCCTATTCACCTAGCAGTAAATAGGTACCTGGGGGTTGGACAGCTGCTATGGGCAGCTTCCTTTGGAGGTGTGTGTGTGTGAAAATTAGGGGTTAAGGATTTGCCCGAAATGCTATGCATGCTAGTGGCTGTACAAGAATATAAAAACTTTTGTATATATAAATAAATAAAAATACATACCCATTCTAGGTATTTAAAAAAAATTATGTATATTGTAAAAATTTTACAGGAATTTAAGAGAGAAGAAATGGAACAGCAGATTGCATTGGCATCAAACACGGGTAGAAGAAATGATCGTGATAGAGAGCCTGATCGCAGACGTGGTCGGGATAATCGTGGTCCACAAATCAATGATGATGGATGGAATACAGTTGCTTCAACCAAGGGAAGAACGTCATTTGACTCTTCCCGTTTGAAAAACACATTTAGTAGGGTGAGTTGGTCCAGTTTATGGTTAATTCATTCTCTTCACTGACTTAAGATGTAGTTTTTAGAAGTGTTGCTTAGTACTGTGTATTGATGTGTAGAAATGAGGCTGACCTGGCATGAAATTTTTTTACATAGATAATAAGGAATCAACAGAATGTACCCAAATTGTTGAATCTATGTACAGCCACCACTTACTCAGTTTTGCTTTTTTCAGTAGCAGTTAAATATTGTATTCATGTGACATGAATCTGGGTAAAAATAATAATGGGTTTTCATAGGATTTGTTTCATCTGTCTACCATTTGTTAACATAGCACTCTGCAACATGTTGAAGTAGAACATTTGATACTCTTCCTTTGCGGTTATATATATTGATCTGTCAAAATTCAGTATAGTATTTAGAAATGAAGGCTGTAGAGTACAGATTTAAAAAAAATTACATTGGCATCTTTGAAATCCAGATTATATTATTTTGGACTCAATTTTCTGTATTTTGTTATAGAAAGTGATTCAGTACATGTTATGCATATTTGGGTAGAAATATATGAATAATGATCGGATAGGAAATAATAATTATGGAAAAGTTAACATGAAATTTACGTGTCTGTTTGTAGCACTTAACAGGTTTTGTTAAGTCTGCAAAGTGGTCATCTGTTCCATGTCATGGTCTGTTAAACTTTTGCAATCACCCTAAACTGGTCTTAGTCCTCAGTGGCTAATGTTAATGCTATTCTCTATTCCACCAAATGTAACTATTTGCCTTCAAAAGTACTCCAGTACTGCATAAATCTTTGCTGAAAAACACCAAAATCTTCATTCATAGCAAGTTGCTACTATATTAAATGTTTCAAAGTTTACTCTTGATTTTTCCTTTTTTTTTTTCTTTTAACCGCTGAAATTATTCCCAATTAAAAATACTACTAAATTCATTAGCAAATTAAATAAATATGGGTATCATAGATTTCCTGCTGGGTCGCTGCTCTTAAACTGCTAAGGGTTAATACCCCATTTGATATTCTATTTCAAATGAAGTTAGTTACCATGAAATAAGAAAAATCTCCTAATAGTCAGCAACAAAGAAAGAAATCGGTTTAATTACATTTGTAGTTTTCAGTACAATATATTGAGACAATTTTTACATTTTAGCTTTTAATTAAATATAAGTTCTGTGCTATTTAAAATCCTCATTGTAATTGTGGTTTTATAATTGAACAGCCTGGTACTGCAGAATCTAAGGAGGTGACATTGAGAGGAACTGGATTTGCAAGTTGGGCACGTGGCAGCTCGGGTGGTGGCTTGAAGGATCATGATGAAGGAAAGCAGCTAGAGAATCGCTTCAATGTGTTAACAGATGTTACAGGAAGCCATGCTTTATCTGGAGATAACAGAAGAGGTGCTCCTTCAATGGGGTGAGTAATTGTTACATAAAATTATTTTTAAGTTGTATCTTATTTTGAAAATATTGTTAATGAAATTATTTAATTATTCATGTAAATGTGTTCATTTTGCAGTGCTAACCGTCTTGCCCCTGGTGGTGGTGGTCCTCCACGGCCAAGTGGGTTTGGCAGTAAGAGTATGCCACCTCCCTCAAATGACAAAGAAAGTGCAATTTCTGCTGTTAAGAAGTTTGTTGGCCCAGGTAATTATTAGATCACAAGCTAACCCTTTGCAGACTACATAAACTACAGACTATATTAATACTACATACAGTAGACCCAAAAAATTCAGACCTCCATATTGCTGATTTCTCTGCACAGTGGACTGAATCTGCCCACCAGTCTAGCATCCTGTGCTAATTACAGTTACCCAAGTTATGTTCATGAATTATATTCATCACCAGTACCCTGTTATATTTGAATCTCCAGTGCCTGTGTCATTACTGTTCATATGATATATGCTGGTCCAGAGATACTAATTAAATGGCTACAAAGCAAATAGTTTTACTGCTTGAAAGGATGGTATTAAAAAGAAACTGCACTACTATACATTCACTACTTGTACTTTATTCCCTATACTGTAAACACTATACTTCATCCCAGTAGATCGCAGTAAATCAACAAGTCGTCCAGAGTCCAGAGATAGTTCTGTATCTCGTGAAACTAGTGATGGGTTGAGAGGGTATGCGTCACTCGACGAACAAACAGCAGAGAAGTTCGCCACTGCAATCATTGAAGAATACACCCATAATTCAGATCCTGAGGTTAGAATTTGAATTTTTAAGAAGTTTAAAAGAGCTCTGTCTCTAAGATTTTTGTGTAAAGTATTAGATAAAACCTTGTTCCCACAAAATTTTGGTCCCTTATTTGGTGGGTACATTTTTTCTCCAAAGTTCCAGATAATAGGAGGGCTGTGAAGCCCCTAACACTTCTTGAGCTTCAGAGTTAATGCTTTGGCATAACACTTTTGGTATGGGGGAGGTTGACCATGGTGTTAGAGTAGGAAAATAGAAATGGCTTGCATGTTTTTCTTTGTTTCTTCTCAATTCACTTTACTTATGCTTTCCTACTTTAGTACATAAAACTTATTTACATTTGTTTTTAGTATTTTATGATCTTTTGGTGAAGTTGATACATACTCTTAACACTTTCGCGCTCTCCGCAAAGGTCACTCAGCCAACCGAATGTGCGCACTGCGTTTTTATCGCTTAAGCGTAAAAACAAAAATGTGTATACTCTTTTTACTCTTCTGACCTTAGTTCTCATGCTACGTATTTCATTTTCGTACCAACGTGTTCGCAATAAAATTCTCTAGAAGAACATCAGTAAAAAAAAGTCACGAAACGTATAGGGATACCAGCACCAAATAAAGGGAGCCGGTCGGCCGAGCGGACAGCATGCTGGACTTGTGATCCTGTGGTCCTGGGTTCGATCCCAGGCGCCGGCGAGAAACAATGGGCAGAGTTTCTTTTACCCTATGCCCCCTGTTACCTAGCAGTATAATAGGTACCTGGGTATTAGTCAGCTGTCACGGGCTGCTTCCTGGGGGTGGAGGCCTGGTCGAGGACCGGGCCGCGGGGACACTAAAGCCCCGAAATCATCTCAAGATAACCTCAAGATCTCAAGAAATAACTACGAAGATGACTCGCCGTGAGCGCCCATCAGCAACAAAATGTTTTTACTCTTGGGATTGTTATCACCTCCACACTTGTCCTACAGCGTTAATTTTGGTATCAATGGACTCGCAATGAAATTCCCAACACGGTATTATGAATATAAGCGTAGAATAATGATGCGGCCCGCCCGCAAGAGTGTGGGAAGTGGTGAAATTGTTACCCGGTATCGGTGACGGGACGACGCACGGCGCTTTGAAAGTTTATACTTATTTCACTCTCATGACATTAATTTTCTATGTACGTCATTCATTTTTATGTCAATGTGTTCGCAATAGAATGTTCTATGTGCCCATAGGTAAAAAATATCAACAAAGCGTAAGTTAGAATAGCGACAAATATAAAACAACGCTGGAACATATCAGTGAGCGTCAAACACACGAAATATTTTTACTTTTGTTATGTTTGTCAAGGTTATACTTGTTGCACACAGTTATTTTTGGTTGTATATTGATCGGAATAAAATTCCCTAAACAGACATATGCATATAATACATGATATGGGGGAAGAATTACCAGTATAAACGGCTAAAGTCACCCACCTGCAACCCGTTTGGGACATAATACCATTTGATCGAAGTTATCCACACCTTTCATGAACTTATTGTACCATGCAGCCTAGTGGTGAGAAAAAGAGCCTCATAGCGCGCAGTTTGAAACAAACCCAAAGTAAATCGGATAAAAATTGAATTTTATACAAATATTTTAAAAGTAGACATAACTTTATGTCCACTATGCGTTTACGTTAGACGAAACCGAACGCGCCGGCGCGTCCAGATAGCGCGAAAGTGTTAAGTAACTCAATATTCAAATTAAAAATAATTTTTTTTTCACAAACACCTCAATATAATTTTCCTGGTTATTTTACTAACCACTGCACTGCGCACGTGGTTTAAAAAAAACTGTCTTAGTGCAATTGTCAAGGACATATTTTTGTGGTTTTTATAAATATTCAGGTAAAGTTAATGTCAAAATGTTTCTAAACTCGACTTTCCATTTCAAACCTCAGAGTAATGAAAACATTAAAATATGGCCTAATTAAAAAAAAAATGCATGACTCGTGTGCCTAACAAAATGCCTAAAGGCGCTTTGTGCAGTGCAGTGGTTAATGTACGTGTGACTTGGTAGAGGGCAGCTTCCTGTACTTAGAAACTGGATGTGAGAGTAGTATTACCAAAAAATGGCACAGCCATAATGTGGATAGTTCTCGGCTTCTGGTTGTACGTTAGATGCATCGGACATTTAACAGAGGTTGGGCCCTTTTGCCTAGTATGTAAACACGTCGAGTGGTTATGCTCTTTTTAACTTGTTCTCCATCTGTAATTATGAATGCAGGTCAATCTTGTCAAACCCCACTAAAAGGCAGTGATTTTTTTTTTCCTTTTAATTAATGTCTTCCTGCTGTGATAATTATACAATTCTTATGTAAAGATTGAAAAAAATATGATTACAGGTAAAGGGGGGTAGGGAGATTTGAAAGAAATGTAAATAACAAGTATGTGACTGCACTAATTATTAATGGTAGATCAGATTTTTACTTATTATTTTTGTTGCAGGAGGCAATGCTGTGTGTTAAAGAGAAATTTGCAGCAAGCACTATTAAATACTTTGTGCAGGTCACTCTCGAATGGGTAATAGATCGTGATTTAAAAAAGAGAAGAATGGTTGGTCAATTGTATCATGACCTTATTTTAGAAAATCTTTTATCGGTGGAACAATTACTTGATGGGTAAGTAGTTTGATATATGCATACTTTGTTTGCATTTTGTGAAGTAGATGGTCTAATTTCTAATGTTATTTGTGAAAAGATTGTCAATAAAGCAGTAAATTAACTATAGATAATAGCTAAGCTTTTATGTATTACTATTTCAGATGTCAAAGTACACTTGCAATGACAAAGGAATATGAAATTGACATCCCTCAAGTGTGTGAATACCTGGGAGAAGTGTTTGGTAGGTATCAGCAAAGTTGACGTCTTGACAGGTAGCCTTTAATTGAAGTACAGCTTAGTCATGAACTTGCAACACAGTGCCCTTCTAACTTAGTGCAATGTGAACAGTCTGATAGCCATTAGCAGTTAGCAGTAAACAAATATAAATAACACTAGCTCAATTTTTGCACCTTGTTAGCAGGTGTTGTTTGCTAATGGGTCTTATCTAGAGCTATGAATTTGACACAGCTCTGTATAGTCAGCATCCTTAAAGTAATCTTCAAAACATCTTCCCTCAGCTGTGCAAGTCAAAGGTCAAAGTTTGAGGGGGAATAATAGCCATTTTCTTTACATTGGAGACATTTACAACTAGAAAATAACACTTGCTACCCAGGAAGGAAAAAAGTTTGTTAGTGTAATTGGCTGATTTATAAATTTTCAGGATTTTAGTCCATGTTCTATTACTTATACAAAACCAATTCTACAGCTCCCTGCCTGAATGATAATGCTGTCTCTCTAAAAAGACTACTAGAACTTTCAAGTTATGCTACAAACAAGAAAGCAAATGTATTTGCTTGTATTTTGGCGAAAGCTGCAAAGAATATGGTCAGTAACTACTTTTTCTTTCATTTAAACCATTTTAATCTTGTATGGAGACTTCTTGTATGGAAGAGCTCAAGAAGCTCTTCTTGCTGTTGTTTGTAAGATAAGTAAATATAAAAAGTAGTGAGAACAAAGGTGAATGAAGTGGTAAAAAACATCTTGAACAATTTAGGATACACACAACAGGGATTTGTCTTGATTAAAGAAAAATATAAATTTGTTTCTGGTTGAATTATCATATTAGAAGTCTAGTTAGTACTAGAAAGTTATATTTAATGAGTGTTTTTTAATTGCATATAATCTTTATTCAATGTTATACTGAATTTAGTACATGGTGTATCTGGATGTGCCAGTGATTTTATGCAATCAGTTGACCTGATTTTATAAATATATTCTTGTTTAGAAAATGTGTCAATAAATGAATTGAGGAATGAATGATTGCTGATGTTCTGTGGTGATGCATGAAAGTTACTTTGTTCTTCACTCTACGAGTGTTAAAACAGGCTCAAGTGCAGCTTCAATATTATTTTCAGAGTGTAATTTGTAATGGATTCCTTGTTTAAATAAAGGCGTGCGTGTGTGTAATTACCTAAGAGTAGTTACAGGATGAGAGCTACGCTCGTGGTGTCCCGTCTTCCCAGTACTCTTTGTCATATAAGGCTTTGAAACTACTGATGGTCTTGGCCTCCACCACCTTCTCACCTAACTTGTTCCAACCGTCTACCACTGTTTGCGAAAGTGAATTTTCTTATTTCTTCGGCATCTGTGTATAGCTAGTTTAAATCTATAACCTCTTGTTCTTAAAGTTCCAGGTCTCTGGAAATCTTCCCTATCGATTTTATCAATTCCTGTTGCTGTTTTGTACGTAGTGATCACATCACCTCTTTCTTCTGTTTTCTTGTTTTGGCATATTTAATGCCTCTAACCTTTCCTCGTAGCAGCTCTTGCCCTTCAGTTCTGGGAGCCACTTAGTAGCATGTCTTTGCACCTCTTCTAGTTTGTTGATGTGCTTCTTAAGATATGGGCACCACACAACCGCTGCACATTCTAGCTTTGGTCTAACAAAAGTCGTGAACAATTTCTTTTGTATATCGCCATTCATGTATTTAAAAGCAATTCTGAAGTTAGAAAGTGTGGCATAGGCTCCTCGTACAATGTTCTTTATGTGGTCCTCAGGTGATAGTTTTCTATCTAGAACCACCCCTAGATCTCTTTCTTTATCAGAATTCTTTAAAGATTTCTCACATAAAATATAGGTTGTGTGGGGTCTCTGTTCTCCTATTCCACATTCCATAACATGGCTTTTATTAACATTAAATTCCATTTGCCAAGTGGTGCTCCATATACTTTCTTTGTCCACGTCATCTTGAAGGGCATGACAATTATCTAAGTTTCTTATCCTTCCTATTATCTTAGCATCATCAGCAAACATGTTCATATAATTCTGTATACCAATTGATAGATCATTTATGTAGACAATAAACATCACTGGTGCAAGAACTGAACCCTGTGGTACTCCACTTGTGACATTTCTCCAATCCGATACATTGCCTCTGATTACTGCCCTCATTTTTCTATGTCAGAAAATTTTTCATCCATGATAGAAGCTTACCTGTCACCCCTCCAATATTTTCCAGTTTCCAGAACAACCTCTTATGTGGAACTCTGTCGAAAGCCTTTTTTAGGTCTAGATAGATGCAGTCAACCCAACCATCTTTCCTGTAATATCTCTGTGGCTCGATCATAGAAACTGAGTAAATTCGATACACAGGATCTTCCAGATCGAAAACTATACTGTTTGTCTGATATTGTATCATTTCTCTCCAGGTGTTCTACCCATTTAGTTTTGATTAGTTTTTCCAATACTTTCACTATTACACTTGTTAATGATACAGGTCTAATTGAGGGGGTCTTCCCTGCTGCCACTTTTGTATATTGGAAATATGTTAGCCTGTTTCCACATGTCTGCTACAACTCTGTTCACAGGGATGCCTGAAAGATCAAGTGAAGTGGAATGCTGAGCTCGGATGTACATTCTCTCAGAACCCATGGTGGAACTTCATCTGGGTCAACTGCTTTGTTCTTACTTAGCTCCTTTAGCATATTTTCCACTTCATCTCTAGACACCTCTGTACGCTCTATGTTGTTCTCTGGAATTCTTATTGTGTCTGGTTCTCTGAAGATTTCATTTTGTACAAACACACTTTGGAACTTTTCATTTTATGTTTCACACATTTCCTTTTCATTTTCCGTGAATCTGTTTCCCATTTTCAACCTCTGAATATTATTCTTTACCTGCAATTTGTTGTCTATGAATTTGTAGAATAGGCCCAGTTCTGTTTTACATTTATCCACTATCCCTTTTTCAAAATTTCTTTCTGCCTCTCTCTTTACTGCGGTATAGTTGTTTCTCACATCTTTGTATCGGTGGTATGTTAGGGGTTTGGCCTCTTCCTATACTGATTCCATTTTTGTGTCTTGGTCTCTGGCCCTCTTGCAATTTCTGTTGAACCAATCCTGTTTTCTGGCCCTGCATATCTGTTTTGGTATGAATGTGTGTGTGCCTTCATTGTATATTTTGCAGAATTGGGCATACATTTCATTTACTTCCCTGCCTAGCAACAAGTCTGTCCATTTACTCGTTAAAAAAAATTGAAGTTCCCCATAGTGACCTCTCCTTAAATTGAGTTTATCATGTTTCAGTGTCCCCATTTTCTTCTAGATGATATCTTAAACCATATTTAATGTCAAACATGATGTGATCACTCCTCCCCAAAGGAGGAAGGTAGGTGTGTGTGTGCGTGTATATATATATGTATATGTATATATGTATGTATGTATATATATATGTATGTATGTATGTATATATATAAATAATAATAATTTTCATATTTGCAGAGTCCTAACAAAGTAGCTGATGCGTGGAATTCATCTGGTCTTAGTTGGTCTTCTATAATTCCTCCTACTGACACTGTTGATGCTTTCCTTGCAAAACATGTAAGTAAAAGTGGTACACTTGTAAGAATTCTTTGTATGCTTGTAAATTTTCAATGTTTAATCGAATCATTTTTAATATGCATTATACAAATACTATTTGTACCCATTTCTCATTTGCATAAGATGAGGGTGGCAACCCCAAAAAGGTTTTTTTTTCCTTCCCCCAATCATTTCATTTACCATTACTTTTCACACTGCATACTTGATGTTAAGGAGTGATCACCACCACTCCAATTGTACATAACTGTGCTATCCTTTTGTCTTTATACAATTAAGTCTACAGTGCTGTCTCTTAAATTATTTAAATTTGTTAAATCTTAATTCCCTGTAGTTGTATTCCATAATGCTTCTCGTGCACTATTCAGTTTATATCACATTTCCTAACTAGGCCCCGATTAACTTTCCACATCTGCATATAATTTTCATTAGTTTTTATGATAACTCATAAATGCACATTAGATTGTAAATTTTCTGTGGCTAACCAAACATTCTTTGTTTACCTCCCGTTTGTATATCCTATCAGCTCTTCAAGCGGATTTGGTTAACTGGAGGTTTTTGATTAGTTGTCTGTATAAATTTTAAATATTTCCTGTTCCTTTTTTTCTTCTGTCCAGCGTGTGGAATTCACAGTGGACCGTAGCAAGTCTGGAAATCAGAGTGGATGGACGCCTCAAAAGGTGGAGACAGAGTTCCTTAAGCTGTTCAAGAGAGCATCTAATGACGAAATCTTTGGATGGATTGAGGTAAATCTTCCGTTTGAGGAAATGGTTCATTGAAGTGTTACTAAGTTCATATTTGGCTATACAAATTTGCAAGTTCTGTATTTCTTTAAAATTTTAAGATTGGTATTAGATGTTATGCATCTATGTTAAACTATGATGATGTTAAATCATCATAAATCTATGATGTTAAACAAACGGCATGTTATTGGTGGCTTTTCATAATTGTTTGTGCAGAAACATTCATTGCAGTTTTTACAAATCTTGCAAAATGCTTCAATATACTTAGTGCTGCTGTTCCTGGCACCCTTTGCCACTCTGAGATTGACTTTAGCTTGAGAGTAAACAAAAGTTGTATAACTCCTAGGTCAGTCAGAAATTGATGACTAGTAAACAGCTTTATATAGTTATTTAAAGTAAAAATACAGTACTGCAAGGTGTTTCAGGCAATCTTAATAAGTGATGTAGTAATTATTGAGATTTTTCTTTTAAGTTACAAAAGATAGATTAATTCATATTTTAGGTAATATATGAAAACTGTACTAAATGTAAATCCCTGAAAATATATCGGATATCAACACAAACTGCAGCTTTTGAAAGAAGTTGACAGTATGTCCAAGCACGAAGACCTTACCTTCAAAGAACACAATAAAGTAGCTGTCACAACCTGCAAGAAAAAGGACAGGTTGGATAACAAGAACCTTTTACACTAGAGATGCTATACCAATGATATTTTTAAAGATGCTAGTGCTCTCGAGTGGAATACTGCTGCACAATGACAGCCCCTTTCAAAGCTGGAGAAATTGCTGACTTGGAGAGCGTGCAGAGATCCTTTACTGCTAGAATCCAACTCTGTAAAACTATTGGGACTGACTAAAAGAGACTAAATGTGTATTCTCTTGAGTGCAGGTGGGAAATGAATAATAATTTACACATGGACAATAGTAGAAGGGCTGGTCCCAAACCTGCACACAGAAATAACACCACATAAGACCAGAAGGCATGGCAGGATGTGCAGAATACCCCCATTGAAAAGCAGAGGTGCAACAGGTACTCTTGAGAGAGAACTCTTATCAACATCAGAGGCCCAAGACTGTTCAACACGCTTCCACTACACATAAGGGGCATAACTGGCCGACCCCTCGCAGTGTTCAAGAGAGAACTTGACAAACACCTCCAAAGGATACCTGATCAACCAGGCTGCGACTCATACGTCAGGGTACATGCATCCGTGTCCAACAGCCTGGTTGACCAGTCCAGCAATGAGGAGGCCTGGTCGACGGGGCCGTTGTTGATAAGCCCCGAAATCGCCTCAAGGTAAGGTACGGTACTTGGCCTCGGGTCCAGACTCTTGGAATTCAATATCTCTAAAAGAAATGCAAAGTGCAAGTAGCACAAGCACTCACTGTGGTGTGGAGAAAAAGCTTGGGCACTGGTGAAATGCTTAAATCAGCAGATACAGCCCTCCTACACAAGGGAGGGTGCATGGCATTGGCTAAGAATTAGACCAGCTGCACTAATGTTCCACAATGTTTTTGAGTGAACAGGTCAAATCTCCAGTTTGAGACAAGTGACATCCATAACTCGGGTCAACTTGGATTTTGAGCAGGAATGTTATGCCTTTCACAGTTACTCAACCATTATAATAAAATTACCGATGCATTACAAGAAAAACAGAATGCAGATGGGGTGTACATGGACTTTGAAAAGGCACTTGATAAATATGACTATAGAGTGATAGCCCACAAAGTGAGGTCAGTAGGAATAACAGGTAAAGTAAGACAGTTGATATTTAATTTTGTCAAACTGAACGCAAAGAGTAACAGTCAAGCAAATAAAATGGTTCAAGCACAGCTAAAAGCTTTGTACTTCAAGGTCCTTGCACTGCATTTCTTTCTCATATCAGATATAGACGACAATACAAGTCACAACTTTGTATCTTTTGCAGAAAACACACAAATAAGCATGAAAACTTCTACTGTTAGACATTGAAAATTACAAGATAATTTTTTATTCAGCGGCAGAAAAGGGTTTAACAGTGATAAATTCTAGGTACTTAGGTATGGTGAAAATAAAGACCTTCATCAAAGTACAGTGGCACCTCGACTTACGATTGCCCCTACTTACGATAATTTCGAGTTACGATGTAAATTTGATCGATAAATGCGACTACATCCAATATTTGTTGGTACACGTTTGGGTCGACCGAGTGCGTGGTTCCAGGTCACGCGGTCCGACCTGCCTCAGTTTACTACAGCTGCCCGCTTAGTGATGATCGCGCCTATAAGAAATTCTCAGTTTTTGGTGATTTTTTTGCATTTTGAACATTAAAGTAATTATTATATATCATGCCATGAGTCCCAGGAAAGTCAGTGGTAAGGCTCAACATATGAAAACCCATGTAAGGATGACCATAGAGCAGAAACAAGAGTACAGAATGTCTCTTCCTCAACAATTAAGAAAATGTGTGCAGCATGGGAAGAATTGCAAACTTTTGCTGAAACGACTCGCCCAAATCAAGCTGCAGTAGGCCGTTGCCTTTACCTATTCAATGACACTGTGATGCATCATTACAGACAAATGTTAAAACGAAGGGAAAAACAAATGTCTCTTGACAAATTTGTAGTGAGACAAACAAGCACTGAACCACAACCAGGTCCTAGTGGTATGCAGGCAAAATGTGCCAGGGAGTGCACACCAGAAAGGTCCTCACTGACTGATGTGATAATGGAAGGGGACTCCCATTCCAAACAGTAACAACTCTCCTCATTCTCCCCCCCCCCCCCCCCCCCCCCCTCATCACCATCTTCCATATGCCATCAAGAGTCCTCAATAAAGGTAAGATCAACTTAGGTACTGTATTGTAGTTAGAAAAAAAAACATTGTATTCAGTATAAAATGTATTTGTATGTTAATATTTTGGAGGGTGGGGAACGGATTAATTCAATTCCCTTTATTTCTCATGGGAAAAATCGCTGCGACTTATGATATTTCGAGTTACGATCTGTCTCTGGGAACGGATTAGCATCGTAAGTCGAGGCCTCATTGTATAGGGTTCAAAACAATTAAATCTGCTTATAGTAGGAAAGCAACATGTATAGGATCTGGGAATATCAATGTCTGAAGACCTTACATTTACGGAGCATTACCAAGCAAATATAATGTCGGCTAGAAAAATAATAGGGTAGATTAAGAGAACTTTCAAATCCAGGGAGCCTATTGCAATGCTTATGCTATTCAAATTGCTTGTGTTGTACTGCTAGATACTCACTCTGCCCTTCAGAGCAGGAGAAATTGATGGAATGCAGAAAACACGTATGGTATGCAGACACATGATAGAGCACCTAAATTATTAGGATCATCCCAAAATGTACTCTAGAGAGGTATCAAGCATAGAGTATACATGGAAGGTACAGGAGGACCAGGTCCTAAATTTGTACAGCAATACAACATTCTGGAGTAAAAAATTTAAAAGAAAATGTAGAGTGAAGCCAGTGAAGAAAAGTGGCAATTAGAGAACATTGTATGAACATCAGAGGTCCACTGTTGTTTAGTATCTCCCAGTAAGTATTAGAAATATTGCCGGAACAAAAAAGCAGAGGGAGAAAACTGTCTTTTTTTTTCTTGAAAGATGTGCCTGACCAACTGGGCTGTAGTTTGTATAATTGGCATGTGGGTCACTCCAAGCAACAGCCTGTTGGACCAAGCTCTCACCAGTCAAGCCTGGCCCTGGGCTGGGCTTGGGAAGAACGGCGACTCCCTGAACCTTATCCAGTTACAAAGCTAAGAATTAAAGAAATTTTCTTGCATTTAAATCAAATATACATGAATGATGTGAACAGAAAATAAAAATACATGATTTGAGTGTATCCAACTACAGTAATTTCTATGCTACCTTTCATAGAAGAAAAATTGGCTGTAATATTTTGGTATTATTAGTGATGTTTTCTTTTTAACTTGCTAAACACCTTCATGCTTTCGTAAATGATAATTTGAATGATGTAATATTTCCATAGAATTAATAACTTGCCTCATGAAGAACTCTGCAGATTTCATAATTAGCTTAAAGCCTTGGGGGGTAGAAGGCTTTAATAATTAATAACTGCCAAAAAATATGAAAACCCAGCGACCTCCTTGCACATCGTAAAAATAATGCATAAATAAAAGTAGAGGACAGTGTTCTTCAAATCTATTCACATTTGAATAAAATACATGGTGCACCAAATAAACACATCTACATGATTTGGTTGTTAATTAAGTTTATAAGTTAAATTATGTTTACAAAGATTTATAATCCTTTTATCCATGTCTCGCTCTCTCTACCCATTGAGTGAACTCTGGTGGGAGGCATAACTGAGAACTGTTTCAGAGAATACTAGGGTCAGCTTTGTCATCTGCCAAAAGCCACCCAGTTTAAAAACAATAGTAGCGGAAACTAATTTTTCTTTGATGCTGAAGTTGTAATTCATATTTTCTTCAACAGGCAAATATCGGAAATGATGCCAAGAGCAGCAAATTTATTCGTGCCTTGGTAACCGCCTTAGTGGAAAGTCAAGCTACGAGTGAGTTAAAATAAATTTGTTTTAGAAAGTTTTCTTGTTTATGCTAGTGGTGATTTTGGTTTAATAGGAATTTTACTCAGCGGAATGTATTATTTATGATTTTTTTATTGAACTACATTGATTTCGTATAGGAAGTATCTATTACTCATTCTTTATCGTATGACTACTTCTGAACAATGTCCTCTAGTAACATTTCAGATTGCACAATCCTTACATGTGCACAAAACCAACAATTTCTTTGCCCAAAAGATAATTGCCTCACAATGATGGATGTTCATGAATTGACCCATGGCTTGATCATTTTCTGGATGTTTATACAAGAATCATATATGTTTTATAGTATATCAATGGGCTAATCTTAAAGGTAACTAAAGGTTACTCTTACTCTAACTAAAGGGTAATAGGCTTTAAGACAATAAGTAATGTATCTTTTCAAGATTTAAAATTGTGGAAGCTTTCTTCATTTTATTTACTTTCATTATTTTATTCTCAGCTTCCAATGATGGTTCCTCAATATGTGTAACTGAAGACTTTGAGGCAAAAATGAAAAACCATCTGGCTGTGGTGCTCAAATATGTTGACAGCAGTGAAGAATTGGAGATGCAGTGCATTTATGCCCTCCAAGCACTTAGTGTTAAACATCAACATCCTAAAGGTAAGGCTTAACTATATTGTATTTCTAAGCTGCTTGAGTGCTTGTTAAGGGTTAACTGGTTTACACTTTTCTATAATTAAAAAAAACTACTATCCATGTCTGGTAGTTCATGCCAGACGTGTAAGTCTAGGATGGGGAATATAAAAAATATTGTTATAATGGTTAATAGTATTCTTACGGTGGAGATTTTTATAAAGCTACTGTTAATTTTATATTAAAAATACATCTTTGCCTATTTGCTGCACATGTCCACAACATGTACATGGTGGCATTTGTATGCATTTTGTGCGAGATCAATGGCATCCCAACATTTTCATTTTGGAGCAACAGTCCAATTTGTTGTTGGCTTGCTTACTTCAAAGTGCATGATGGGGACGAGATTAGTATTCTAGTTGTGCTTGTCGGGGTTGAGCTCTGTTCTTTCGGCCTACCTCTCGACTGTTTCTAACTACTACTACTAATTTTTTTCCACATTGCATACACACACACACACCCCGTGACAGCTGACTAACTCCCAGGTACCTATTTACTGCTAGGTAACAGGAGGATAGTGTGAAAGAAACTCTGCCCAATGTTTCTCGCTGGCGCCCGGGATCGAACCCAGGATCACATGTCCAGCGTGCTGTCCACTCGACCGGGCCCTCACTCAATATTAGTGGGTTGGGTACTATGATCCCCAATATCAGCAGTACCCCGTGGTGTAGTGGTTAAGACACTCGCCTGGCATTTCACCAGCACTTTTGTCCTGGGTTGGTATCCTGGCCGGGGAGGATTTACTGGGTGTCAATCCTTAACTGTAGCCTCAAAGTCAAGCCTGGCCTCAGGCCAGGCTTGGGGAGTAAATGAACTCCCAGAACCCCATCAAGCAGGTATCCTCTCCAGTGAAGAGCAGGGGTGCCATAGGCATTGAGGCCAGGCTTGGGGAGTAAATGAACTCCCAGAACCCCATCAAGCAGGTATCCTCTCCAGTGAAGAGCAGGGGTGCCATAGGCATAATCAGAGAACACTGTATAAACATCAGAGGTCCACGATTGTTCACCATCCCCCCAGCAAGTATAAGAAATGTTGCCAGAACAACTGTGGACACTATTTAGAGAACTAGATTTTCTCAGATTTTCCCAAGCAACAGCCTGTTGGACCAAGCTCTCACAAGTCGAAGTCTGGCCTCGGGCTGGGCTTGGGGAGCAGAACTCTCAGAACCCCATCAAGCAGATGTATTCTTGGAAGGGTTAGGTGGGGTTGCTTAGGGATTGCATAAGGTTGGTTAGTAAATTTCAAATTTGGTGTCATGATGAGAATAGGCTATGTACGAAGAGTGGGAAGGTAGTGTGAGGAGGCCTAAATTAGTTTCTGTGCTGGAGAATCTGTAAGGCTGTAATTTACTATGAGGAAAATTCAAATATTAGAAATTATCTGACCTTGCAACTTGTAAAAACATTGATGCCTAACTAACCAAAAAATGAATAGTGGCACCTCCAAAATTTGAACTATTGTACTGTATAATTCAGGTCTCAATCAAATATTTTGTAAACTCAAATTTGTTAAATCCAACTCCTGTATTAAATTAAATGAGGGATTTGGTCCATCCTGGACCAACACTAAAAATAATGGTGTCCTGGATGGACGGAATCATTTTAATTTCACGTGGAGGTTGGCTTTTTTTGTGTTTTCAACCAAGTTATTTCAACCAACCACTTGTTCTGTTTTCCATAGGAAAACTAAAGTAAAACATTTCTGCATATTTAAAATATGATTGCAGCAACAATTAGGATAATCTTTTTAATGAAATTAATCTTCCAGTTAACAGTATGGTACTGTATTTCTAATCTGCTTGAGTGCTTGTTAACCACTGTACTGCACACTAATATCATAGGGAAAGTAGGTGCACATACCAGCATATGTTATTCACAACTACTGCAGGTGCATGGGGCTCGCATTTTGTTTCTCGGGACTCGTAGTAAACGGATGCAACTGTGAAAACTAAGTTGTATTCATGCTGTCTATGAGAGCTTGTATACTACCAGTGTTACCAAGGCTGGTGCATGCAGCTGGAGCTCACAGCACTGCTGCACAAGTTGCGGCAACACCATCACTTAAGGGGGCGTCAGTTCCCAATTTGCCCTAAAAATGCAACAAATGAAAACTCGTTCGATTTCAATCAAACTTTTTTGACAAGTTCTATATGAAAAGTGTTTCATCTGGTCCAAGTTTCAGCATCGTAGCATAAATAGGAAGGGAGAAAAAAATATTGAAGTAGTTGTGAAAATTATGCCAAAATGGTCAAAATCGATTATCAATCAAAAGTGTCAACTGAAATCATAGCTATGACTCTGCTATCACAATAGTATATATTAAACAAATATTATAATTAGTTAAATTGAAAAAAAATTTAAGAATTTTTTTTTTTTTTTTCCCCGGACGATTTGCATCAAACTTACACACCTGACTGTACGTAAGCCTATCTGTAAGGACACCAGTTTTGGAGAAAATTGGTCGATGTCAACCTCAGCCACAGATTTTAGAACCTTAGACTTCATTCATTTTTTTTTTTTTTTCAATTGACATTTACAAAACTGATTCATTTTTTATTCAATTTACATGAAACTTACACAGTATATGTGAAGGGCATGTCTCTACATTTGAGTTTCCATTTTTCTCTTAAGTTCATTTACTGATTTTATAATAGCAATAAACATGCCATATTTGCAAAAAAAAATTTGGGAACTTTGAACATTTGTATTAGGAAAACTAAAGACGTTTTGGAAATTCTATATCTCAAGGTCCTTTATTATATGCTAATGTGTCAGAAAAGTGTCACAGAATAATTATATCTGAAACGTGTGTTCTGAAGTGTGGACTTGAAAATGTGTAAAAAAAACGTTGGAAAAAAAAACAAACAAAAAAAATCTCCCTTTCTATTTATTCTGCAGTACTGAAACTTGGGACAATTAAAGCACTTTTCATATACAACTAGTCAAATAATATTGGTTGACATTGAACAACTTTGACTCTGACAATCTGACGCCCCCTTAACCCTTATCCTGCGCAATACTCACATTGGCAATGAGAGTTGCTTGCACTGCAATGCGCTCATCATACATAGGCAATTGAGGGTCCCGAGCAAGAATTAAATGTCCTATGGCTATACAGGGTTCACATCGGCTTCCACAGGGCTCTTGTGAATAGACACCATTAAAAAAAAAATCATGGGGAACGTCCTCGGGTGTGAAAGCCTCGGTACTGAGTGAGCAACCAAGGCTGGTGTACGCAGCATGAGCTCACAGCACTGCTGTTCAGCTTGTGACCACAGCATTGCCTAAAATGTTAAAATATATACGTACCTGCTATTATTTAGTGATGTTAGTATTACAGAAGACCCCTGACTGATAAAAATGACCAGGATTCTGATTATAGCAGGATTTGTGATAATTAGTGCTGTGCATTGTATGGTGGGACGAGTAATCTTGGTGAGGGAGGGAGGTGGCTTCATTTGCCGACTGTGGCCACCTTTTATTGTCCGGACTCACCATACCAGCTTAGTGGTTTGCTATGGTGAACACAAATATAGATACTTATATATAATGTGTATAGTGTGTGTTAATAGCAAAAGGAGTGTTGGGAGGTGGCGTAGTCTGCATGACTTGTCATGCAAACTACGCCGCGTGCTGCTGCTGCTACATGCTGTCAGGGCGCCTGACAGCCGAGTGGACAGCGCTTCGGATTCGTAGTCCTGAGGTTCCGGGTTCGATCCCCGGTGGAGGCGGAGACAAATGGGCAAAAAGGTTTTCACCCTGTTACCTAACAGTAAATAGGTACCTGGGAGTTATTTTATTTGTTTATTTTGCATATCTAATGTATTCATTTATATTTCCAGGTCTTCTAGAAAAGTGCTTCAATGCATTCTATGATTCAGAAGTTGTGTCTGAGGAGGCTTTCGATGAGTGGTCCAAGTCTCAGGATCCTGAGGAACAGGAGGGAAAGGGCGTGTGTGTTAACTCGGTTAAAAACTTTTTGAGGTGGTTAAAGGAGGCAGATGTAGAAGAAACAGATACTCATGCCTAAGGATTTGCCTCTCCTACCTCCCTAATTCTTCCTTTAAGTGTTGAAACAGATATGTGACGTTTTTGTTACTGATGAACTAAATATATTATTGAAAATTTGAGAAATAGATAAAGGAGCCAAAATTATTGTTTTTACTACAGTGACTGTGTCTTGAGCCTGACACAAAGGGCAGATATTGCAGAGACTTCCAACATTTGTGTTGGAATGCACTAAGCTAAATCCGGCAGTCTTCCTGTTGTCTTAATCTCAAAATGGAGAGTTACACCACAAGTTTGACACCGGAAGCTTATGTATAAATGGACTAGAATACTGCCTCAACTGTGGTTTTTTTATATAATGTGTAAAAAGTGCACGTGAACAGGTTAAACATGTTAAAAGTGCAGATGGTTTTGTAATTCCTGCTAGGGTGAGCATCAGTTGCATATTGTTATTGTGTTATAGCATAGTTGAAATGAAAACTGCATTCCCTTCACTTCCAAGATATTGAATGACTGTATAAAGGATACATGCATTTAGATACTTGAAAGCTCAGTTACTTGTTTACAGCTTGGCTCCTGATAAGTTTTGTAAATTATGGCTCAAATTCTGTGATTTATTTTGTATATTTATATAAATATTTAAAAGTCGTGTACAGACCCGAGCATGTGCCTAAGGCTGGAGGATATGCTTGCTGGCTGCTGTCAACTCCCAAGACTCCTGCTACCCAGGGATGTTGGCATATCGTTGAGTTTAATATGCAAAATGTGACATTTGCAACTCACGGCGAGTCGCTGTGTGTCCCATCAAGCGCTTGCTACTTTGCTAGTTGTTATTCTGAGCGAGTTGTACTTTAGCCTGTGCCCCTGACCCTTGGACATAAGTAATCAGTTAGTGAATACTGACAAGACTTACCCAACCATATAGTTGATGCACTTGCTCCATGCTGTCCCATATTTTGCTGCTACTGGGCTTTGTAAGAGAGAAATCCAAAATGGATAATTTTTCTTGTGATAAGGGTAATGGATTATTCTTATGACTGACATGAATGCTAAATAGTGTGCTGGGCACAGGACAAAGTTCAACTTCTCATATCGTTAACGCGTTAATATAAGCAAATGGAAAACTGGGGTTATATTTAAGACGAAGTGCTATAAATTAATATTGTAAACCATATCGCCTCTGAAAATAAATTTAATATTTACAATTCTAGTTTTATTTTAAGTAAAATTACCCCCTCCTTTCCAGCCCATTGTCGTGAGGGGGGCTTGGTGGGTGGCTGCTGGGGTGTGATGCTCCATGGGCAGTCATTTGTCCTTTTGGAGACTTGTGTTCCTGCTGCCGTCTTCACAAATTATACTGGAAGCCTTTTCCTCTATTTTGACGCCCTGGTGTTTGGGGAGGCAAACCCAAACCATGGTGCCCTCCATGGTACCTGTAAAACTGTGGTACCTGAAGTTTTGAGCAAGGGTTTTTAAGGTGGCGATTGCGGGGCGTATACCCATGATCCACCCCTAGGAGGCCTCATCTTGTTGGGTGTTTTATCCTCTGTGGTGGGTATGGGGCTTATTCTTGGATTAAATTATAACCTATTTGTTTATATGCCAATGACTGATCCTCCTCTCAACTCCCAGACTCTTGGGGTGGGCGACCAGGCCCCTCCGAGTCGAACTGGGATGGAAGACCTGGCTCTTTAGACTGATAACATTGGGCCTAGACAAAGCTGGTTCATTAATCTTTGCAACTACCCCTCTGCTCCCCTCCCATCAGAGCCCCCCATAGCCCACAGTGGTGACCACCTCATTACCTGGACCCCTTCCCTGTCCGGGCTCATTGCCATGACTGGCTTGGTGGGCGGCTGCCGTAGTGTGATGCTCCATGGGACAGTCCTCTGTCCTTTTGTTGCTTTATACTCTTGCTACCCTCACTAATTTTGCTGGACAACTTTTCCTTTTCCTTCATTCCCCCCTTTCATCCTTTCTAAGTGTCATTTCCTGCTGACCTTGTGCCTGTGTTGATCATTCTTTTGGCCTTTTGTTTTGACGCCCGGGTGTTTGAGGAGGCATACTCTTGCACCCGTAGAACTGTAGTACCCAACGTCTCGAGCAAGGGGAACCGTTTATTGTCAATCCTTTCGTCACTTAAACTGATCTCGACAGACTGAAGGTTCTTATGGTGGCGTTTGTGGGGCGTATACTCACGACGCACACCTAGGAGGCCCTGGCAAAATCGGCAACATGTCTCTTGTTGTGTGTCCTGCCTCTAATTGTCTCCGTGGTGGGTGTGGGGTTACATTTGTAAATGAACGTCTTGCCTCTCGTCTCTGTCGAAATCTGTTCCTCTTATACCTTCTCAGGCTTGTGGGGTGGGCGACCAAGCCCCCGTCGGACTGTGTTGGAAGACTGGGCTCTGTAGCCCCCGCTGCGTTGGGCCCCGACCTTGCTGCTCCTTTGACCCTCCTGACTACTTCCCTCCCTCCTCTGGTTGGGTCAAGCCTCAAGCCCCCAGTGGTGACCACCTCATTCCCTGGCACGGCTCAGTCTCATTGTGACTACTACGCCTTTTAACCCCTTCCTCTCTCTCTGGGGGTTGAAGTAAGCCGTCCACGCCACTGCCGCACTCTTACCGATTTCATTCCACGCCTTGTTTGGTCCAGCTTTGTGGGCCAATACTGTACTTTGATCTCCCTTTGGATTCTTCATCTGACGATTTCTCCCTCCATAGGCACCTTGTTGATTCCGTAGATGCCTATTACTTTCAACCCCACCAGTCTCGTCTCAGTACAAGTGTTGCTGCTGCTCCTAAAGATGCAGCCACCTGCTTGGCCGCCTTATCATGCCTTGGCTAGACCCCTGTTCTGGTCTCAAGTCTGTCAACCCCTTCAGGTTGTGAAGATTACCTTTGATGGTAGGACCCTTCCACCCTGTCATTCTTGCTGGTGCCAGGTGCTCCGTTCAGGAGTACATTCCCTCTCTTCGGCTCTGTAATAAGTGCTGGAGGTTTGGGCATGGTGCCCTCCACTGCTCTGGTACTGTCTGTCTCTGTCCCATGTGTGGGGGCGAAGGTCACTTAAGTCGGAGTGTACTTTTCCCAGGCTTGCTGCCTCAATTGCAGGCCGATCCTACCTTCTCCTGCGCATGTATACATTACACGCTTGAGGCAGCCCAAGTTCGCTGTCTCCCACCTTACGCTAACGTAAGCACCAATTAAACCCATGGTACCATAATGGTGCAAGAATAATGAGAGGATTCGCTGACACTACAAGGACTGTTGTTTGATAGTAGACCTCTCTACAAAATATAGCATAATATTAACATGGAAGCTAATGTTACCCATTATTTCTTAAAATTGTAGTTTTTCTTAAAGCAACAAAAGGGTAGCGTTAAACTATGGAGCCGAGCGGACAGCACATTGGACTTGTGATCCTGTGGTCCTGGGTTCGATCCCAGGCGCCGGCGAGAAACAATGGGCAGAGTTTCTTTCACCCTATACCCCCTGTTACCTAGCAGTAAATTAGGTACCTAGGTGTTAGTCAGCTGTCACGGGTTGCTTCCTGGGGGTGGAGGCCTGGTCGAGGACCGGGCCGCGGGGACACTAAAGCCCCGAAATCATCTCATCTCTTATGCTCGCTTGTTGCGCTCTTCCTCTCCTCGTTCTTCCCACCTTCCTCAGTCTCACAACCGTTTCCAGGCCTTAGACTCAGACACTCCCACCACTGCCGCTGTTCCTTTACCTTCTGTCCTGAAGGGTCCCCCCCTCATGGTTCTGTCTAGGGTTCCCCTTCTTTCTGCCCAGTCTCATGTCACCTTTGTCTTCCTCGACTTCCTCCGATCCTCCTTCCCATCCTCCTTCGTCTATTGGCTCTCCACGCTGCCTATCAGTGCAGGCTGATGTCCATCGCTCTCCCAACGGCCATCGTGTTTGCTCTCGTTCGGTCCTTTAATCCGGTTCATCCAGTGGTTGTCGAGATCTAGCATTGGCTGTTTCTTCACAGTAAATCCGCGAGCGCTTTGTCACGGGTTCATATCCTGGCCGGGGAGGATTTACTGGGCGCAAATCCTTAACTGTAGCCTCTGTTTAACTCAACAGTAAAATGGGTACTACGATCCCTTGTCTCTCTCTGAGCTTCAGTCTGCCCTGGCCCACTGTGGTTATACGACGGTGGGCTCCGATGGCATTCATTATGAGATGCTTCGCCATCTCCCTCCATGCATGTTTCAGTATTTACCGAGTGTCTATAATCAGGTTAAATAATATACACCTGGAAGATACTGGAGGGCCAAGTACCAAATCTACACAGTAAAATAACAATGTACTGGAGTGAACGATATGGAAGAAAATGTAGAATAGAACCAGTGAAGAGCAGAGGTACAATCAGAGAACACTGTATAAACATCAGAGGTCCGCGGTTGTTCAACGTCCTCCCAGCAAGCATAAGAAATATTGCCGGAACAACCGTGGACATTTTCAAGAGGAAACTAGATTTATTCCTCCAAGGAGTGCTGGACCAACCGGGCTGTGGTGGGTATGTGGGCCTGCGGGCCGCTGCAAGCAACAGCCTGGTGGACCAAACTCTCAAAAGTCAAGCCTGGCCTCGGGCCGGGCTTGGGGAGTAGAACAACTCCCAGAACCCCATCAACCAGGTATCAACCAGGTCTAGGAGTCGTCGTCAGTTCCTGAGGACTGGCTCGATGGCGTTGTCCTCCCTGTTCTGAAACCAGGGTCTCTTGGGACATCCGCCCTATTGCGCTCATGAGTTGTCTGCAAAGCCTTTGAACGTATGGTTAACGTTCGTTTGATGTGATTCTTGGAACACTATCACCACCTCTCCCCTTCTCAATTTGGTTTTCGCAAGTGCCGCAGCACAACTGATGTCCTGGTGAACTTGGAGGTCTCTGTTCGTACTGCTTTTGCTGCAAAGACCTCCGTTGTTGCCGTCCTTTTTCACCTGGAGAAGGCTTACGATACCATATTCGGTCCCAACTTCAATTTTTTTACCTTCGTGGTCGTCTCCCCCTCTTTCTCCAAGGCTGCCTCTCGTTCATTTCGGGTGAGGCTTGGTACCGCTCTCTCTGTCTCTTCAGCAATACGAAGGTGTGCCCCAGGGTAGTGTTCCGACAACTTTTTTTCTGGTTACCGTCAATGGTCTTCTTTCCTCTCTTCCTTCAGGCGTCTTCTCTGCTCCCTATGTCGACGCTCTTACCCTTTGATGTCGAGGTGGTGATTCGCCTCTCCTTCAACGGTGGCTTCAACTTGTGATTGATGCTGTGTAATCATGGGGCCACCGATCATGGATTCAGGTTCTCTACGTCTAAGACTTACTTGTGCTATGACTTTTACTCGGAAGCATGTCCTTCTTCGTCCCTCTTTGTCGCTTTATGGCCATCCCCTTGTGTACTGGGATTCCGCCAAGCTTTTGGGGTTAATCTTTGACACTCGTTTGTCTTTGTCACCCCCATATCTCTTACCTCCAAGTTGAATGCTCTAAGGCCCTTACCCTCCTTAAGGTTTTGTCCCATACTTCTTGGGGAGCGGAAAGGCGCGCAATCCTCTCTTTACATTCCTCTCTCATTTTGTCTAAACTCGATTATGGTTGCCTTGCTTACTCATCTGCTTCTCCTCCTCTTCACCGTCTTGATGCTTTGCCCCATACTGGGTTGCGCCTCAACTCTGGTGCCTTTCGTTCGACTCCCGCCCTCAGCTTGTATGTTGACACTGGCTTCCTATCTCTCCAGGACCGCCGTGATCGCTACTGTCTTCGCTATCTTGCGCGGTCCTTGCAACATCCTTCCTCTCGCCTCTGTCGTGCTTTAAATTTTACCCCTCCTGTGGTTCCTATTCCTCTTCACCGCTTCCCTCCTTCTGTCCAGTTATCTCGCTTACAGGATTCTCTTTCAGTTCATATTTCTAATGTTTCTCCTCGTATTGTTCCTTCTTTGCCCCCATGGAGTCCCCCTTCCGAAGTTTGTACGGCCTTGACCCCGCATCACTAAAACTTTCACCCTTTCTACGGTTCTGAAACGCCTTTTTCTTGAGCACTTTTCTTCGCACTCCCGCTCTGTTTCCATCTTCACCAATGGGTCTAAGTCTGCGGACTCAGTTCCCCAGCCCTCCCCCCCGTTTCTTGACCCTCCACGCCACCTGTCTGTCCAGGCTGTTGTCCATCATCCTCCTAGCAATCTTCATGTCGTTTGCTCCCGTTCCTCT